CATGAAATAAGCGGGAGCGGGTGATTACTCTCGAATTGCTGGTTCACCCGATAGAAAAGCGCCACGAGCGTAAAGGGTTAAAAGTTTTAAGCTGATTTAAAAATATTAATTACTCTTTTTCCTGATACTTTAGGTTATATATAATTGTCTTTTACGGATATTAAAAATACATGCTTGAGAATATTTTTACTATCCGAACTAATAAATTGGCGTGAAAAATGTCATTTTTAAAATTACTTATATTTTTTTTTTGCAATTTCATAGGTATATCCTATTCTACTTGATAATGAGTGACGTTCGAAGTTTTCTAACATGTGACTCGTCTCTCGATGCAAGTAATCAATTAATTCAAATGGAAATTATACGTTTTATACGAGCAGTCGATCTTTTATCTTCTTCCTTTTTCATTTTTCTTTTTTATTTCCCCCTTCAGTTTTTTCTTGATCGACTTTTCACGGTATTACACGTTGATCCAAACACACACAAGTTTTCTACCGATTATCAAACAAAAAAAGCTTACGATACTTTTACCCGAACCGATCAAACACACGTGGCTTTACTTAATAAAGTTCTTTGTTGTTTAGAGAAAAGACGTATCGGTGTTTTTATTACCGCGATGATTTATTTCTGGAAAAAGTCAACTAACTTTTCTTCGAGAATTCCTAATAAAAAAAAAAAATAAAAAAAATAAAAGTAAACCTAATTTTTTCTTGAAAAATACACGAACATGATCGTTCGAAATGATTTTCAAATTATTTTATCTACTTACGAATTAATAATAATTTCAACAACAACAACAACAAAATATATAATTATCACATTAACAAAATTTTAATCAATGTTGAAATTAGAAAATCTGATTGAAGATGGAAAAAAAAAGACGAAAAATTCAAAAAGAAATGTTATCGTCGATAAAATTCAATTTTCAAATATCATCTAAATAGCTCGAAAATTAGGTAGACTCTTAGACTATGCTCCTATTGTAGAATTCAATGATTTCTCTATTTCTCAACAGAGGTAAGTACTCGAGAAGATCTCCTTTCCTCTCTACGGAGTCCACGTTAACACGAGGACCACTTTCCAATGTCGTCTAACTTATACGATCCTTTACCTACTTCTCCCCTTTTGTGTTTCTGCCAATTTCAATTTAATGGAAAACTGCACAAGTAACGAATTCATGTATAAACATGCAGAATAAGTCAAATGTTCCTAAATCCTCTATAAAAGATCTTTCATCTTTATTCACAAACACACACATACACACAACAATCTTTTTCAAATTAATTTATATTAAATTGAATTACACTGTAATTTTAGAAAATTATTCACAAGCTTCATTTATAAAATTAACAAATCCAATTAAAATACTAAATGATCAGAAAATAAGCTAATTGATTTGACATAAATTATCTAGAACATTTGTGTGTGTGTGTGTGTGTGTGTTCCACCGTAAATATATAAAAATTAAAGAAATAAAATTCCGATAAAATAATTTAGTTTAAAGATCAAATTTGATCGAATAAAGGTAAGCAAATTTTGCACACTTTTAAAACGATACGCGTCCTATGTGCATCTATGTGTATGTGTGTCTATGTTTCTAAGGGAATTAAGGAATAGAGCAAAAGGGAACACAGGATCCATTTGTACGCAGTCGATACGGTCTGTCTGAGTCTACCTTGCAAGACGCATGAATGCTTGTTGAGAAGAACGTGCCAAGAATTTGAAACATCTCCATAATAAACGAACGGATGAAGCGACAGTAAAAAAAAAAGAAAAAAGGTAGGGAAAATAATGCCGATGGAGTTCTCTGTTCTGAAAAATGCTATGCAATCCTATATCATATATTTCATCCCTGTCAGTGAATGAAGATAAAACATAACAAAATTCTACTAAATTCCACGATTAATTATGTTCATAAATTTTCATCAAAGACATCCAATAATATAAACTCCAATAATTGAAGTATTAGAAAGAAATTCAAATGAGGATTCTAAAGGGTGTCTAAAAGAAGTAATAAAACCCAATTGTGTGTTTGCTATTGATGAATTAATTTTTACGTTATAGGCTTATTAATTATTTTTTCAATTAAAAGACCAAAAGTATGTCATATCAGATGACTTTTAAATGTTCCCGATAAATCTTATTAAACGTAATTCGCGTAAATTTTTTTAGACGCTAAATTCGACATCGAAGCAGATATTTGCTTTTGTAGAAAATGAAACGAAGCGTGTAACACCGATAAAAAGAAATCTTCGGCTTTGTTCTAAATAAAAAGAAAAAATGTAGAAACTCATCAAAGTATCAAATTGAACTTTCTTTCGTATTCCAATCAGATAAACGTTCATGGAATTCACAGTTTCCTCTCTTTCTTTGAACGTTCTCTTAAATGCCACTTAGGAACGCAACTAGAAAAATATCAAGGAACAATTGAAAGGATTGGTCAAAAAAAAGAAATAAATCTTTCGAAAAAGCTATAAAATTTTACGGATTCTTTATCCTATTTTCTATCATCGATTTATTCGAGGAAAGTCGGGATGGGGGGGGGGTTGATGATCTTAAAAATCGAAGACAATATATCCAAAAATCAAATTCTAATGTCTCTAATTTCAATTAACGTGTTGAAAAAAAAAAAGAAAATATTTTATATAGAAATTGTGTACGTTAAAAAAAGAAAATACGAATTGTTCTGACAAATTTCAAAAGCAGACACGAAACTTCTACGTACCCTCTTATCGATCTACCCTTTCGCAATAAATTCAATCAAATCACAGTAGGAAAAATATGAAAAGTTTCGTACAGGATTTTCGTATCAGCAGCCACAGGGTGGGTAGGGACTTGGTGATTCGACGACAAATGCAGGATATGCAAGTGGTGTCGATGTTTACGGAGCTCTTGTTGTCGGGCATTTCGCACTCCAAAACTCGTTTCGTGTTTCTACGAATATCGTGGATACAGTATACGGGAAATATCGTCTGTTTATCGGATGAAACTTTTCTCTTAACTTAGCCAAGTGGAAAGTTACACATTAATATAGTATATCCGGGTGTGTAGTATACGCGTATGCACACGTGGATTATTTTAAACTATCACAATTTTTTGTCTTATTTTTTGTCGAACGAAAAATCATATTTTACAAAACTTTGTATAATGCTGAAAAAAAAATTATCGAAATGAAAATCCCAATTAAACAGAATATCCAATATGTCTGGTTATGATTGAACTCGATTTTCGCATGCTATAAACATTTCCAATTTGGCACCGTAGGAGACAGAGAGAGAGAGAGAGAGAACAGGACAAAGTCACATATGGGTAACTAGTTAGTTAGGTAGATAGGTAGCCTAGTTTCCATACGATACTCGTCATCCCTACGCCAGTGTTATTTCCAGGTTGAATCGTGTATTTCATCGTGAACAACAGACCCAGTGTATTTCATGCGCTTGAATTTCAACCATGCGCTATTTCGATCTGCTACACGCGAATCATATATTTGCATCCCGACCTGTATCACCAAAGCGTTGCTTAACTACTGAAACGTTTGACAAGAAATTATTTATCAAGTTTTTGTTTCTCATTTTATTACCGATATTCAAATCTTCGTTCGTAAGACATTAAATGATTCCACGATTCGATAAATTGTTCTAGAATATTGATTTTCTTTTTAATATTATTTTAATTAAAGCTAAAAATAAGATTATAATAATATTTCATTGTGTGATATGAAATATTGTAATAAACTATTCTAACAATAAGATGCATTAAATGTTCTCAATTTTGCATTAACATCTACGAATCTAAATGTATATATACACGTGCATGGAAACTATTGCAACACACATATACGCACATATATGTTTATTCCGTATAATCAGCTTACATCTCGCACTGACGAGCCATTGGACTATACATTTGCATTGTATTTCCTGTTGAGATACGTATATAAGTACATACATTAGCATCAGACCTAGAAACATATATATATATGTATATATTATATTACATATATATATACAATATATATATATTGTATAATGCTCCAATATTACACAGTATTAAAATATGTCGATAGAAATATACTGAAAAAAAGTAACATTTCTTTTAGTTTGTATTCATATACTTATTTCAAATATTTAACAAATCTTATTTCTATTCCTTTCCTTTTCAGCTACTCAATTGTTAACATATCCTATTATTAATATACAACATTTTTATACATAAATAAGCTAAATTTTGATGTTATATAAAATGTAGGTATTAAAAATAAGAAATTGCTAATATATTATTTGACGAATAGTTATTCATAACATATTCCATATAAAATATCAGTTCTTTATCAAATATCAGTACTCTACCTGCTTTTTTCCCCATCAGATTTTCGGATAAACGTACTACATAGCGCTTTATCGATAAGCTTTTCTCCTATCTTTCTATACCTTTTTATGAATTCTCGATACTTTATCCTCCTTTTCACATCCTCGTATAGACATACACACTTACACAGTATATTCAGTCTCTATTCTTCAATAATGCCAGTGAGTAAATGTGTACTCTGTAGTATACACGATTCAGTATAGTATATAATTATGTAAGATTATTTATATGTGTACATATATATATATGAATCCATATACGTATGTATGTGTGTTGTTAGTATTGTCGCTCTTTATATCACGCATATACAAAAGTTAGTGAATCATTTACATATTTGAATAAGCTCTCGTAACTAATAATCTTATCAGGAAGCATCGTATGCTAATATTCACTAAACGTGTGCACTCATTTACGAGAATCTAATTATCTAGTAATAAATGATACATATCAGTTAGAACACAATAACATTGTTAAAAAGATATTTATCACATGAAAATAATATAACAATAATTTTAATAATTATAAAAAGTTATAAGAAAAAGAAGGAAATTATTTATGTGTTTCCTACACCTTTTTCATCTATTATTAATTGTATATAATTATTAAAATTGAAGAATGTAATAAATTCTCACCTTTCAACGATGCAGTTACATTTCGAAATCTTGAATTCTCTTCAATGATCCTTTCCTCGTTAAATTTTCAACTTTTCGTTATATTTATTAACTCATCATTCGCCAATCAATAATTCATCGAACATTATTTTCTCTTTCAAAAAAAAAAAAAAAAAAAAAAACTGAATATAAAATTCAAATTTCTTTTCGAAATTATTTACACGCACTAAACAATAAAAATTGATTAATCTAATTATCGATATCGAAACTAACAATCAAACGATAATCATTGGCCGTCAATAACGGCGCGAAATTCAATCCGATTCAAACGTCCTCTATTATCGTATTAATTTGAATTTCAATTAAATTTGTGAAGGAAACATTTTACAAATCAAAAAATCTTAGACAAAATACTACGGCACTCGCGAATTACTGATTATCTTCTTTTTTTTTTTTTAGCTTTTCGTACACCCGAATACATTGAAAATAATGGACAAAGGAATGATTGTAAAATATATAAAAAAAAAAAAAAGAAAAAAAAAAGAAAAAGAAGGAAATCAACACAAGGGAATTCGAAAGGATACGCGAATTTCTGCAATGCTGATTCAAATGTGCGTTCATCACGGTCTCAGGTACACTGCTGAACTATTCGCCCTGCAGTAAACCTATATACAGCAAGCTGCTGCAAAATTCGCGTGGGCGATTCTACATAGTTCTGTGCCCACGCTTGATTGACTATATACATGTATATACACATATATATATATATATATATATATATACACAAAGTGAGACGCCACTCTGACTATATCACCTAAATATCTCCTTTTTTTACAATCGTATTAAATATGATAACTTCAATGAAAAAATTTGCATTATTGAAGGGAGGAATCTAATAATTGAAAAATAAGTGTAGAGCATAAGAAAAATAAACAAAAAAAATGATCCGCATAAACATTCTGACTATTTGTTCGCGAGATATTCGAATAATATTTAAACGCATATACATTTATTAAATATTAAATAATTTCGATTTGATATTCTATAAAACGAAAATTTTGCACAAGAACGTTAAGACACATATACATTTATTTAAACAATAACATAAAAATGATAAAAATGATAAAATCAGAACGTTACAATCTTAAATTTTTTTCATTAGATGAATTATTCCCTTTATACACGTGCGCAACATTCGGAAAGTCATATAAACAACTTTCAATAAAAGTATTTTCACAGACGAGAAAGTGCCAGTCTCAAGGTGGATTTCGAAGCGGACGGAGCTTCCAACAGATATTCCGAGCTTTTTAACCGCAATAGACATTTCTATTGATTAATTAGCAATTATTTAAATATTTTAATACACTCTCTTTATATTTCAGTTTGTTTTAACATATATATATTGGTTGAAATATTACATTACCTATTAACGTATTTTAAATAGAAAATAATTTTGATATATTTTTCTTTTATGTTTTTAGATGACTTTTTTAACTTGATTTTGTTACTGAGCCAATATACAAACATAAAATTTCCCGATAACATACATTATTTTATATCAGTTTTTTGTTAGATTTCGCGGTAAACGTATTACTTGCGAATAGGTGAAACTCTTAGGGTGGGGCCTAAGAGTTAGATTTCTTAAAAAACGTTCTCGGTTAAATAATCTTACCATTGAATTCACCACTGCGCAGGAGCGGTTAAGTAATCACATAAAAATGATAAAAATACTAAAATCAGATCGTTATAATCTTAAATTTTATTGATTAGATAGATTATTGATTTTATACACATGCGCAACATTCGGAAAGTCATATAAACAACTTTCAATAAAAGTATTTTCATAGTAGAGAAAGTGCCAGTCTCAAGGTGGATTTCGAGGAAGACGGTTGACAAAACGTATACTCCGAGCTTTTTAACAATAATTACACTTCTATCGATTATTTAACAATTATTTTAATACTCTAACACACTCTCTTTATATTTCAGATTGTTTAAACATATATGTACTAGTATAAGCATTACATAC